AAAGAAATCGCTTTAATCACTTTTTTAAAAAGAAAAAAAAAAAAGCAAAGAAAAAAAAGACACAGAAAAAAAAATCCCCCAAAAAAAAAAAAAAATAGAAAAGTGATTTGAATTTCAGAGTTGCATATCAATCAGCATTGAATATGAAGAACGCAAAATCAAGCCATGATCATAAAAGTTCTCAATACGATATTTAGAATTTACGACTGCGTTTATATTAAGATCTATAGTATTTATTTTATAGTGCAAATTTAATAAACACATGGATTCGTAAAATTGTTCACGTATCGAATAGTTTTATACCAAAGAATAAGAGTAAAATCAATTACTCTTTTCAAAAGTAAATCACATTTTTCTTACTTTTTGTTTTTAGATTTGTTTTGATAATAAATCGCATATACATATATATAAATATATATATATATATATGCCACACATTTTTCTTATTTTATGAAACAACAAAAGATAAAGAACGAAAATATATATCGGAAGTATGAAACCATTGTATAAAAATTGATTATCGATTAAAATGATGCGTTGTGGATACTTCCATGCTGTATTTACAGTTATGGTAAAATGCAATGATCTCGATCATGATAATTATTATTATTATTATTATTATGTTTTAATCCGCATATCGGTTGAATTCATTGTGCTCTTGATAATGGCTTGACTCTGACGTGTGGTTTACTTTATGTACATTTAAATGTATTTATGTACAAAGAATATCATCACTCATACTAAACTCATTCACACATCACTTAAATCAAGTTCACTGTTTTTCATTATCACGTCCTCTCAACACACCAGACCAGTACACTCTTATATACAAGTAATTCGTTTGCCCGAATCCTAATATAATGATAATTAAATTTCTCAATTTTTTTTTTTCATTTCTACACACAGCACTTTGATCTAACATCATCATCATTATCATCATCGTTATTAATCATCATATTATATGCACCATTGTTTTCTTCCTTGTGGTTTTTTGTTTTCTTATTTTATACACTGGTAATACACACCCGACAAAAATTATCTTTTCAAAGTTAAGTTATGTTTCACTCTGCGAGTTCAATGCATAGCAACATTATGCCTTATACATTTACGAGACACAATCACTATTTTAACACTTGAAACTTTTCCTGAGGTGCATTCCAAACTTAGTTATGATTCCATATCGAAACTACTTGGACACATTACCCTCTTCCATACTATTATTGTCTTCAGGTCTTATTACATACAAACTGGGGTCTATCACTTTAGGGATAGGTTTTATTTCTGTTCCAAGCTCTTGTTCGATACGATGTAAGTTAAAACGATCCTCATACGTGATTAGATTAATTGCTATACCTAAATGGCCAAACCTTCCTGATCGACCAATGCGATGCAGATACGTTTCTGCCATCTTAGGAAAGTCAAAATTGATTACAACGTTAACAGCTTGTACGTCAATACCCCGAGTGAACAAATCGCTGCTCACCTATAAACAAAACATTTTCATTCAATTTATTTCTAAAAACGTATCTTATAATTTAACATTTGAATAAAAAGGACGTGAATTAATTAACCTATTAGGTTAGAATTTTGACTTACCAGATTCCGACATAATCCTGCTCGAAAATCGTGGAATACACGATTTCTGTGTGCCTGTGCCATTTTCGCGTGTATATAATAACAGCAATATCCAAGATCCGTTATTTTCTTTGCTAGTAATTCTACGCGTTGTGTCGAATTACAGAAGATTATGCTCTGTGTTATTTGCAACTGCAATGTCAAAGTTTAGATTAATATTCAGGATATTTGTTTCTTTTTTCAATTATTAATACGTAATGAAAATATATTGGAAAATGAATATCTTACCTTCGAGAATAGCGTGTTAAGGCAGTGAACTTTTTGTCGTTCCTGTACAAAGGCATAATACTGCGTTACACCTTTTAATGTTAATTCTTCCATTAAATTAATCTCATATGGATCTCGCAAATGTTTTTCCATAAACTGTTTCACAGTTAATGGAAAGGTGGCTGAATATAGCAAAATCTGACGTTCGTGTGGCAATCTAAAAAAAAAGATTAAACGAAATTAATTATTTCTAACTACGTATAGTTATAATTTTATGTTTCATAAACTAATATATTCTGCGAAACGTACTTAGAAATGACATGATCCAACATTCCCTTAAAATCTTGCGACAAAAGCTTATCTGCTTCATCCAAAACTAATATTTTGCAGTGATCCATGTTCGCAACGTTTTTGTCCATAAGATCAAGAATTCTTCCTGGTGTTGCTATTATTACTTGTACTATAAATTTACAAAATTCATTATATAAAATATCTGTTTGTTTATATTTATACAAAAATACTTTACATATATATAAATAGAATTATATAAACCTTTCTGATAAATCCTCATTATATCGTCACGTAAATTGGTACCACCGGTAGTTACCATTACTTTAATATCCATATGTTTTGCAAGTTCAATACATATTTGTGATGTTTGAAGGGCTAACTCTCTGGTAGGTACAATTACTAAAGCTTGAATTACATCTTTTCGAGGGTCGACCTAACATAACAAATTTCATTAAATTACAGTCAAAAATTATCCCATAAAAAGAATTTAATATTAACCACTTTAACTATATATAGCAACATGTGAAACTTGTAATATGTTTACTAGCTTAAACACGAGAAATAGAAAATATAACATCGATATTTTGTCACAAAGTTCCACGTGTTAAATCATAGGCAAAAGAAGTTAAAAAAAAAAAAAAAGAAAAGTATAATTTGTAAAGATTATCAGAAATATGGAATACCTGTTCGAGTACTGGAATCGAATATGCTCCAGTCTTACCAGTACCATTTTTAGCTCGAGCCAAGATGTCTTTACCAGACAAAGCAATGGGGATACTGGCTTCTTGAATTGGAGATGGTTTTTCCCAACCCTTTTCAAAGATACCCATTAGCAACTCTCGTTTCAGGCAAAATTCTTCAAACTCGTTACCACGTGTGTCAGTGACATCCTACAATATACATATTTATTTATTTTTTTATTATTATAAAAGAATAAAAAAAAAAAAAAAAAAAAAAAAAAGTTTATTATAATTAATATGATTTTTTAAAAGAGAAAAATATATGAATATTACACTAACAGCTTACACTAGTCTTTATGCGTTTATCCTTTGGTGGAATTTTTAGTTTGGCTTTCCAACCTACATCGTCCATCTTTTCTAATTCTGTTTTCGCATNACCCATTAGCAACTCTCGTTTCAGGCAAAATTCTTCAAACTCGTTACCACGTGTGTCAGTGACATCCTACAATATACATATTTATTTATTTTTTTTTTATTATAAACAAAAAAAAAAAAAAAAAAAAAAAAAATAGAAAAAGAATATTGAAAGAGAAACAACAAATAACAATCGACAATAATATAAATGAAATCGCTTACACTAGTCTTTATGCGTTTATCCTTTGGTGGAATTTTTAGTTTGGCTTTCCAACCTACATCGTCCATCTTTTCTAATTCTGTTTTCGCATTGAGAGCAGAATTAAGCATGTGGTTTGAATTCATATGTGTTTCGGTCATCATCTTGGAAGCAACGTAATGTATCTACTTCCTAAAATAATAAAGAACAAAATGAAAATAACAAATATAATTATATACGCATAATTAAAATTCTTATAACAACTTATATCGATAAAATATTTAATCTATTAGAGTCGATATAAACTCTTTCTATTATTCGTATATTATATACCATAAGAAGAATATAATAAATCTTTCCGATGTGGGGATTAGAAACTATAACGGAGAGAAACGGAATGTAAAAGAAAGAAAGAAAAAAAAGGTAAACAAAGAAGACCTTTGACTAATATCGACTCCAAACGTATTGAAAGTTCTAATCTATATTTACTTTCATATTGTGTTTTTATATATTCGGATCACATCAACGTATTAAATTATGTACAAGCAAAGTCGTTAGATTCAAATTGAATACAAATACCATATATGTGTATATACATATTGAAATGCTGTAATTAAAATTCTCTTATAACGTTAAAAGTAATCCTAAAAGTATATAATTATATAGATGAAAAATGTATATATTTATATATATAACAAATAATTATTATTGGAGAAAGGAATGGAAAGGAAAGTAAAGAAAAAAAATAAATAAAACATTGGATAAAAAATATCGATTCGAAATCGATCAAAAACATTTAGGAAAGTTTTAAGAATAATAATAAATTCGGTTAACTTAAAAAAAACCTTTCTTTCGAGGTCCGAATTAAACATACACGTACAATATTACCACCACACCAATATACCTAGGTTACTAATTTAACGTACTTTACACAACACATACACACATATATATATATATATATATATATATATACATACATATAAAACTTGATTAAGCCGCCAACTTTAACGAGCGAAATTTTCGAAAGTACCACGTACACAAATCGAAACATGGAGACAAATTTACATCATAACGAACGAATTCAAAAGATAATTTAAGGAGAGTTAAGCTAGATTATGTGATTACTTTAGGAATAAGAGATAAAAAGAAGAAGAAGAAGAAAAAAAAGGCGTACCAATTATTATCGACGAGATAAAGGACGCGTGGGTAACTTTTACTTGGAGAAATCTCTGTAGAGAGACAAAAGACTAGTAAGATAGAGGGGGGGAAAAAAAACGGAAGAAAAAAAGGAAAGGAAGAATACGATACACCTTTCGTTTGGATAGATAGAGATGGATAGATGAAACTGATAATTCGTAAAAACATACGTTAATGTTAATCTTTCTTACGAAATGTTAAGAAAAAAGAACGATAAAAATGAATATTATATAAAGAAAACATCGGTATGTTCTAAATACTTATGGTTAACGTATCTCTTACCTCGAAATGGATGGATATCGATGCTGTGCGCAGCACTCGATTAGGAAACAACACGCCAAAATGGCCGTTCCAATGTCAAGTTTTTATGGTCTCTTAGCAGTACGTTGAAATATAGCCGTGTTAATTTATTTATTTCTTCGAATTGTCCGCGATTCTAATATCAGATAAAGGTACTTTCGCGTTTATAATTAATTTTCCACTAACTATTCGATACTCCTGGCAATTTCTAATTTACAACTAACGCACTGCGTCAAATGCTGACGATTAATACTTGGCTTAAATGTTATACGAGATACACCACGAGGAAAGAAATTTTACTCAGAAACGAAATTCTCAAGGCTTTTCCTATGGTACATATATACTAGACTATCCGGTATAGAGGGCGCTGTATTTTCAACGTCCATCTTAACGGAGTCTTTTCAAGTTTATAATGCTCGATCGATGCTCGACTCTGATTGGTCAATTATTAAGAAAAATAATTATATTTATACGATATCTTGTTAATTAATTAAAGAATTACTTACTCGTTATTCTTTAATTTATTTATTTGCTTTTTCATTTATTAATGAATTAACCTTTTCGATAAAAATATTATACTTTCCCGAGAAGAATTTTTCATCCTTTTCGGTTCAACTGTTTTGATTTATATTCGTCTCTGATTGGTTGATTAATAGCATTAAGAATATATCTATCTCTTAAGACCTCTTATATCTATCTCTTACTTTCTCTTGTTAAAAAATTAATTAATTTAACAAAAAGGCTTGTGCTTCGTTAGAATCTAATTTTATAATTTTTAAAATATCTATTATTTTTCTCACGAGATATAATAAATGAAAACTATTCTTTATTAAATAAAAACAATTCATTTGATTTCTTTTCAAGATTCCTGCGAATGCGCATGCGCATAACATTATACTTAAAAATGTACCGAAAAAAATCTAGCCAACTTTACACGAACAAATTCGATAATTTCGCTAACATTTTTTTTATTTTTCTTTAAACATTCATTCGAATAAAATCTAAAATCAACTTATTATTGAAAGAAAAGAAAAAGAAAATTAAAAAGCAAAACAAAAAGACAAAATTATAACTTGTATTGGTACATAACCTTTTTTATGACGACGAATCGATATTTTAAAAAACGTTAAAAGATATCTCGTTAATTAAATTGTTCTCTTCTCTGAGTTATACGATATTTTCTACAAGCTTCAGGACAATGGCGTTCTAAATATCGTCTTTGTGAAAATGCCTTGAAGCATACTCCGCAGCGCCATTGCCATTGATGATGATTTCTTGTTCTTTGATGAGCTCGTAAATTTGATCTAAAAAGTATACAAAAACAAGAAACCATAAAAAAGAAATAATTAAAAATATTGGAAAAATAATTGAAATATTAATTAATTAAAAATGATTACCGATCGGCAAAAGATTTGTGACAAACTGGACACTCAAAAGGCCGTTCTCCGGTATGAAGTCTCAAATGTCCTTTCAAAACCCACGGCCTGTCGAAACATTTCTGACAATATGGACAATAATGCATCGTTTTATTTTTCTTCCAATTTGAATTGTTTTCGATATCAGGTAGCATTTTATAATCCTTTGTTAATTTTTTGGTCGTAGTTGTAGTAGTAGTAGTAGAAGTAGTACTAGTACTAGTAGTAGGAGTACCGGTATTAGTTAGATATAAAGTTTGCGCTACCGTTTGAATTTCCCGCTGTTTTAAATTTTCGTTAAATTTAACATCTTCACAAATGATCTTTTCGTCGTTCGTCCGTTGGTACGCCGTAAAATTTGATTCACCAATGTCCGATGGCACAGTTTGAATCTCTGTTTGATTCAACGAAGTACCTGATACAAAAATATACAAAAAAAAATTTATTATTTAATATGAAAATAAAGATTTAACAAAATGTAACCTTCGTTGGAGTTAATATCGTAGAAATTGTAGCCAACTGATAACGTTTCATTTTTGAGAAATAAATTTTCATGTGAATTGGAGTCATCCAAAGGTTTCAATTTCCATAATGAATCATTATTCTTTTTAAATGTATATCGTGTTACTATGGGAAGTCCGGAACACATCCAAACATTGTTGGTAAAATTGTTATTAACATCTTGAGTTCGTTTTTGTCGTTTTAAATCCACAGATGGTGGAATCCATTTTAAATCTACATCCTCTGAGAAAAATCATTTCATTAACAAATCGTTATTATTAATTAATACAAAACTATGTAGTAAATATTGAACACAAGTACACACAAATATTCATTAATTTATATCATTATGGACGTCGAACCTAAAAACACAGTGTACAAATATATAATTGGCAAAAACCAAAGAAATATAGAAAAGAAAAAGAAAAAAAAATATATGAAAAATACCCTCGCAAGGATCCTGCGTCTTCTGATATCTTGCCATGGACCTTAACAAACATTTTGGCATATTATTCTGTAATTATTACACTTGTTGACAAAGTACGAGTAACATGAATGATAAACGTTTACCTTAACGAGAGTTACATACACAATATGGCCAGTACAATTTCGTCATTTTAACGTAGTCTTTTGTTTTATTCTTTCTTTCTTTCTTTTTTCTAAGTCAGTAGCGTAATAAGAAATAAGTCTTACGAAATAACTTATACATTTTTGTTTTATTTTTTCTTCTTTTCTTTTAATTAAATTCGATATGACGGACGGTTTCACATTATTGTTACCCCCCTCCCACCCTTCCCTCTATAAATGCGCATCATATGATTAGATATTTCCTATATGCGTAAAAAATGTAGAATATTTATTAAATATTATTAATCATTTTTCTTCTACATATATATTTTTTATATATAAGATTTTATTTGAATGTAAAATATTTTCAAAGAAATACATGTGTATGTGTGTGTGTATGTATGTATGTATTTAGAGTACTCGAATATTTTGTATTTAATTTCAAACGTAGATCAACTCTCTTGGATTTCTATTTACAAATGGATTCTCTTATAGATAAATTGAATATCCAAGAAATTCTATATAATTATATATTTGCAGATACATCATCAATGTCGACCTTTAATAACCTTTGATAACGGTTATTCGACACAAAGACAGGATGGATATAATTTAAATTGATGAGACCATCACAGTACCGGCCGGACGTGCTTACAGATTGTACGCTTCTATCGTTTTGAATTCTACTCATTGATTCCAATTATATATCTTCTTTTTATATATACATATATATATTCTGATTTATATTAATGTGAGTACTCAACCTGTTTCATTTTTGTTGTATCGATTATTCTGAATGATGTTTTTATTATTTTCTAAGTTTCACTGTTAATGTTTTGTTATTTCTTTTTTTTTTTTTTTTTTTTTTTTTTTCATTTTATATGGTATATAAGACAATCATATGTATATATATATATGCAATTTGTATAGGTAATTATTTGTAACTAATAATTATTTTTTATCATCAATGTATATATACAAGGTGTACAAAGAAGTTAAGACTAAACTTATACTACGTATTACTGAGGTCAAACAGATGAAAAAAGTTCATATAAACTTATTATGCCTGAAACTATTTGATTGAAAAGATATTTATGATTTATTATGGCAGTTATATATATATATAAGAAATATTCGAATATCCCTCTCTCTGCAAAAATGAAGGCTTCCGTTCGTCGAATTAGTGTCTGTCGTACTCTTTCAAGTATTTCAATTGTATTGGAAATAATATTAAATGCATTTTGAATATATTCTCAAAGTTCATCTTTTATTTTTATCTTATTTTTATGAACCAACTTTTTGACGTGACTTATAAATAAATAAAATGTTTAAAGTATTAAATTAGGTGACCTGTGGGTCCTACTGAATCATTAATAAAAATTATAATACGTATACGATTCTATAAAAAGAAATTTAACACGAATTTTGTACGTGAATCTATGAATATTTATATCTGTCCAATAAAACATTTTCGGATATAAATTTATATGAACTTTGATCTCAGTAATACATGATATAAGTTTGATCTCAACCTTTTTGAGAACCTAGTATATATATATATATATATTTTTTTTTTTAATATAATAATTTCTCATAGCATATAGAATATTTCATAAGAATATTTCCACGTAACCTTCAAATATATATTTACGTATATACACTCTTTCTTTCTCTATAATATCTATATTTATCTCATAACAATAGTATTGTTTCCATTTTTCTAACTACAACGTTCGAAGGTCATTGTTTATTAGGATTCTCATCAAATCCAAGCTACATTTCTTTTTTCTTCTCTCAAATATTTTATTTCATTATTATATGTAATCGTATTGCGTGTAATATATTTAAATAATATCTTCATATACATGTAATATCGAACTATCTTATGGTCTTTTTATTTCCTTTTTACAGATAATGTTACATCTTTTTCTTTTAATACTATGTTGCATTTCCATTTTACAAGTAATTTCAAAAGGTGAGATTTGAACAAAAAAATATTAAAAAGAAAACAAACGCAATTGTTATAATACATAATTACGAATAATTATAATTTAATACAATATTTGATTATAATGGAAATTTAATTGAATATTGAATTTAGAATTTCAATGCGTGAAGCCACAATGGTTCAAATGCGATAGCGGAGAATGTATATCGTATTCATACGAATGTGACGGTTCATACGATTGCAGTGATCATTCCGACGAAAAGAATTGTACAAATTTCAAAGTAATTATTTCAATATTATTATTATTATTATTATTACATTTATTCTTATGCATTTATTGTAAGAAACTATTATAATGTTGTTTATTTATTTCCACGTGTGTTACCGCGCAGTTTCAACTAGCGCCGGTAAATTGTACCGAGAACGAGTACACCTGTAAAGACAACACCTGTATACCAATCGAGAAATTTTGCGACATGTGGCTCGATTGCAGCGACGACAGCGACGAATACATTGATTGCTATAAAGAAGTGGGCGAATAATTATGATTACGATAATAATTATAATTTAAAACTTAAAAAACAATTTTTACATCTTAATTTTTTTTTTTTTTTTACTATAACCATGTAATTGTATTACTTTTTCTTTCTCTTCCTTTGTTTTTATTTTAAATTACTACTCAGAAACAATGTAAGCATTTTCTATGCAAAGACGGCTATTGTATAAGAAACGAATGGGTTTGCGACGGGATGAAAGATTGTCCGGACGGTAGCGATGAGATTAATTGTGGTCAGTACTCTTTGTTTTATATATATATATATATATATTTATTTATTTATTTTTAGTTGATACGTATTTGCATACGTTACCTTTAAATTATATAATTCTGTTAATTCGTGAAATAATATGATAATCAATGAAATAACTAAGACATTAATTAATTGTTTTGTAAAATAATTAATAATATATAAATTAATGAGAAGCGAGTATAGTTAAAGTATAAAATTGAAATTTCATCCTATACGTTTCATATTGTTAAAGTATATAATTTTGTATTATTTAATATTTTTTTTTAATTAGTTGGTATAAGTTATTTCATGAATTAACGAATTTCACGTTTTAACACTGTGTAAACAAAATGTATTTACTTATTTATTTAATTTTGTATTTTTCTAGGCGATGTTAATATACTACCGGCCAACTGCACCAACGAGATAGATCATTTTCTTTGTAAAAATCAACGATGCATTTCATTGAGTTTAACGTGCAATGAAAAAGATGATTGCGGTGATAATTCAGATGAAGATACCAATTCGTGCCCATCATGTGAGTCTAATAATAACAAAAGGATAACAAAAAATGAGCTTATCCGTAAATTTAAAATTAAGCTTATTTTATTTTAATTATATGTTATTGTTTTTATCATTATTTCTATCTGTGTTTGACTAAATAATTAATATTTGTATTTTGGGAACATATACAAATTTTCTAGAAGATTTATTTAAAAGATACACATTTTTTTTTCTCTCAATTTTTAATATTTCAGTTAAAAATTGTTTCTTTTTTTAATAAATTATTCAAGTTATCGAACGATCCTTCTTTTTTTTTCCTTTTCTTTCTTAACGAACAATATTCGTTTATTTATTTAATTAATTAGTTATATTGAAAAATTGTTTATTATTTGTAGATATAGACTTTTGTTTGAAAACTCATGAATGTGAACAAAATTGTAGAGCAACGCCACTTGGTCCTTTTTGTTCTTGTTGGACAGGTTACAAATTAATAAATGATACTATCTGTGAAGGTAAATTTATTAATAATAATAATAATAATAATAATACACTCTTTCATTATACGATGAAAGAAAATTAATGAATTCATCGATTTTAGATATAAACGAATGTGAAATATTTGGAAGTTGTTCTCAATATTGTATGAATAATGCCGGTTCTTACACTTGTTCCTGCGATCCGGGTTACGATTTGCAAGGAGATAAAAAAAGTTGCAAAGCCAAAGGTAGGTTGTGAATGTTTGTTTTAATAAAAATAAATTTACGTTATGAGACAAATGCTATCGCACCAATTGCAATTTTTGACCAAATCAATTTTTTGCAAAAGCTTGTGCTACTCTAACGGTTCAATTTCAATAGAATTTTATTTTATTTTATTTTATGTATACAGGATGGGGTAAAAAAAATGATTGTTATTGAATGCATCGGGATTAATAAAATTATACTGTTCTTTCTCAGCATTTAATTTCTCAACTGGCGTATGTTCACGATAGTGCAAACAACTTGTCGTTACACATAATCCACATGGCAACCTGAAATTATTTTCATTTAATTAGAATGTTTCTATCTTTTTTTTGTAGATTTCGAAGCATTAATGGTCTTGGCCTCGAAAACGGAAATTCGTGGATATTATTTAGACTCAAAAATATATTATCCGATACATACAAATTTGAAACATGCTATTGGAGTAGCTGTTGACGCTGAGTATATTTATTGGACTGACATTTATCATGGTGAAGAAGCTATATTTAGAAGCGATCAGCTTGGATTTAATAAAACGGTAATCGTTACCGCAGGTAATTCAACAAAATACGTTTTAACAATAAAATATAATAAGTAAACTTACAAATCAAATATTTACAATATTCAATATAAGTATAGTTGTAAAATTATACCTATTTATATTATCGATTTGATTAAAATCTAGGCGTGAAAACACCAGAAGATATAGCAACCGATTGGATAACTGGAAATATATACTTCACTGACAGCTCATATCAACACATTGGAGTATGCAATGAAGATGGAACATATTGTACAGTACTAATACACAAACATATTGATAAACCAAGATCCATAATTGTTTCACCTAAATTAGGGTAATATTTTTATTTTAAATTTCAATTTACATATTTTGCTTTGTGTGTGTGTGTGTGATTTGAAATTAAACAAAGCTTTTTAATAATTTTTTTTTTATATTTATTATAAAAAATTTGTGTGTGTCAATATTATAATTTTTAGTTTGATGTATTGGTCCAATTGGGGTTTGAATCCACACATAGCAATGGCATCGATGGATGGACACAATCATGTTAAATTTGTCAAAGATGATATTGATTGGCCAAGTGGTTTAGCAATCGATGATCCAAATGGTAGATTATATTGGGTCGATGCAAAACTACATAAAATTGAATCGATACGTTTGGATGGTAGAGATAGGAGAGTTAGTATTTTATTTAATTCAATCAATTGCACAAATGATACAATTAACACGTTAACTGTTAAGTATTTTCATTTAACCCATAAGCAAAAACTCTAAGCTTTGTTTAACATGTTGAATGAATCTATATTAATTATTACATTTATTTATTCATAGTAAATCTATTTTATAATATATTTCTATTTGATATTTCAGACAATATTGGCTGACATGATTGAAAATCCATTTTCTATAGCGATACATGACAATATGTTATATTGGAGTGACAGATCTTTAAAGAGCATAATGTCTTGTAATAAATTCACCGGAAAAAATCGGGAAACTCTAATTCGTTCGGATAGTATTACCTATGGGATTCACATTTATCATTCCGTTCTCAAACCAAAAGTATATCAATCCTATTTCTTTATAATATTTCTTTACTTCTTAGTTCTTATTTTATGGAAAAAAAAAAGTATAACTTTATATATTTATAGTTTTGTTAAATGTAATGCAAAATTTTGTTCTAATTCAGATTTTAAATCCATGTAAAGATAATCCTTGCTCGCAAATTTGTTTATTAAATTCAAACAGTAATTATACTTGTGCTTGTTCATTGGATTCACAACTTGCTGCTGATAATCATGCTTGTAGAGGTACACTATTAAAAACGATTGATTTTTTTCCTTTTGAATTAATATTTATACTTTTTTTTTTTTTTTTTATTATTGATTTTCAGTAATTAACAAGAAAGAACATCTCGTCTTAGCAAGCGAAGATACGTTTATAGATTACTATCATGAACTACTGGGTAAACCAAAAATGAGCATAACCAAAACGATAAAATATGTAACTGCTTTGGCATATGATCGTATAAAAGGTAAATTATTATAAGAGTTATGTTTATCAAGACACATAATAAAATTGGCATTTGGTTATTTTTTAATTTAGGTGATATTCTTATCTATGATCAATTAACGGAAACCATTTATCGTTACAACATGAGTAATGATGTATTTGAAAGTATAATTACTGTAAGAAACGAAATATTTGGTGGCATGGATTTTGACTTTGTTGGTAACAATTTATACTGGTCTGATATGGAACAGAAAACTATCGAAGTTCATAGTTTTGGAACAAAAGGGAAAACTGTCTTTTATTATCAAAATGAACCACAAGATATCTCCTTGGATTCTGAAGAAGGGTATTACATCTTTTACTATCTTTTTTTTTTAAATATAATTTATTAAAAAACTAAATGATATTAATACTTTCTCTACGATAAACGTAAACATTTAAAAATCTTTAGTTGAATACGGGAAACGTAGTTCTTCGTTATTTCAAAATTGACGTTTTTTAATTGATTCATTAGATAGAGTGTCCCATAACTGATAGTACAAACGAGCAGAAGGTAATTTTACACGAAGAACCGAGTCAAAAATGTAGAGCACAATTTATTCATAGGAGACTTTGTTTTCGAGAAAAATAAGAATGTAACTAATAATATTAATTCGTATACATACAAAAACGATCTACTGCAAAGATTGTTAAGAGACATCATTTACAAAAAATACAAATTTCAAGAGTTTCAAGAATGAATATAAATTTTATGTACCCCCCTTAATCATTTTATTAAAAATAATATTTTTTTTTATGCAAAACTTTGAACAACAAATGTCTATGAGTATCATATTGAAATGTAATATTCTATTTATTCACATATTTAAAATAGCAGAATTTTGTGGTACTCAATTACAGACTTTTATGAAAATTATATGCCGTATTCAGCTAAACATTTTATCCAACTATCGCCCATCGTGAAAGTCTTAACAAATTAAGATAAATTATTGTATAAATTGAAATTTTTCAAATTCAAATTGTGCAAATTTAAAAGAGAAGAATGTATATTTCAGAACTATATATGTAGTGTTTCATTTTAATAATACATACCGTATACTTCAATTACAAATGAATGGATTGGGTCCGCACATAACTTTGGTGGATCAAGAATTAATTGGTAACAAAATTTCTTTGTGTTACGATAATACAACTAACAGATTGTTTTGGGCTGATCAGGGTACTGGTAATATTGAGAGTATTTCCAAACGAGGTAAACGACAACAAAATTAATAATAATAATAATAATAATGATATATTCAATTAGAGGAAAAATGAATTTGAATTGTTTTCATTTTGTAGGAAAACATAGGATTATTTACCGAACTGGTTTATCGGAACCAATGAGCCTTGCGATACTTGGGAAGAATATTTTTTGGACCGAACGATTATCTAACCATTTATTTTGGAGTCACAAAACGAAAGGTTTACAATTTTTGAAGAAGATACCTTTGGGTTAGTATCGTGTAGAAAATTTATGATGATTCTTGAAACTAAGAGATAGCTTACTGTTCTCTCTGTATCAAATGAAAATAGAACAAAATGATAGAGGAAAAAAATCATATGGCATAATACATCCTAACTTCTTATGACCTTATTTTTTATCTGAATGTATTTATGCACCTGCCAGTTGCAATTGCATTAATTTATATCATTACTACATAGGACTGAGACTCCACATTCTATGAGAATAAGATGTTTGTCCACAAAATTGTTATTATCACGTTCTTCATATTTCGTTTCCCACATATAAGGCATGTCTTGTAAAGTAGCTATATAAAATATCAAATATCTCATAAAGTATTTAACATTTCGATGACATTGGATTAATATTTTTATACACGCACGATAAACAAAGGTATTTATTGATTTAAAAAACAAAAAATTGGGATTACATTAAAAAATAAAATGCAATTACGCTTGGTAGGTGCATCGTTGCATCTATATAAAAAATAAGATCATAAGAAATTCGAACGTGTATTATGCCGTATGATTTTTTCTTCTATCATTTTTTTATATTTTTACTTAATAAAGAGTAGCAGTCTGTTTTAAGAATCACATCCTGTATAGAATAATCAATATATTTTAAATGATCAAAAAATGTATTTTATTTAGAATTACCCACTAGACATCAAACGATACATATAATAGCTAAACATGCAGCTTATTATAGCAATAACAAACAAGGTTGTCATAACGAAAATGGAGGTTGTTCTCACGTTTGTCTACCAACAAATTCTAATTCTTTCGTAAGTACATTTATTTTAATCATTTTGATGATAATTCCTTGATATTGTTTTATAAAATATATAATTTATGTGTTGTATTTATTTAAACAATTTACCACAAATTCTTATTCCTAATAATTAATTCGATATATCTTTTAACATTTTTATATTAATTGAATAATGTTTTCTGTTTTTACCAGATATGCGCGTGTCCACCAGGAATGACGTTAAATAATAATGAAAAGACGTGTCATGAAGTCATTAATTCGTCTTGCACATTTGATGAATTCAGATGTTCAGAACACAATATCTGCATAAAAGCAATACAAGTGTAAGAAAAAAAAAAAAAAAAATATCATAAAGAAGTTTACAAACATTTTGAAAATATTTGTCATAATTAAATATTTGAATGAACATTTTTCTGATAATTTCAGATGTGACGGAAAAGTAGATTGTCCTACTGGCGAAGATGAATCGAGGAATTGCTTTCCTACCAATTTATGTAATAAAAATCAATTTGTTTGTAGAAATGGAGAGTGCGTAAGCCTTACAAGTCATTGTAATTCGCGCTACGATTGCAAGGATCGTTCGGATGAAGAAAATTGTACTATAGTTACATGTGGACCAGGTAAAGCAAACATTTCGGAACATCATAAACAAAGAAACAAATTAAATTGAATAAATTGAAATTTATACTTAAATATATTATTATTATATTATCTAATTATATATATATGAAATATTTTCAGATCTTTTCCAGTGTCATGAGGGTTCGTGCATATCAAAAAATCAAGTCTGCAATGGAAATTTTGATTGTCCTGATTATTCCGACGAATTAAATTGCGGTTCGTATGTTTGTTCTAAGACAGAATTTAAATGCACAAGGGGTCCATGTATTCCCTTTGGTTGGGTTTGCGATGGTGAAGTAAGTTATCGACAAAAAATTTTATTTTAAAATTATTCCTTATGAAAAAAAATAATATAATAATATATAAATATTTTAGTATGATTGCGAGGATGAGTCAGACGAAGAAAATTGTTTAGGTAATTGCAAGGAAGATTTATTTCAATGTTTAAATCAAAATTGCATAGACCAATCATTGGTTTGCAACAAAATCAATGATTGTGGTGATTTCTCTGACGAGTCTGAAAATTGTTTCTATGACTTCGAAGATCATACGTTTACAAATGATGATTACACGGATTATGATTACGAAGATATTGATGTATATGGAAGTTATCAAAAATATCAAAAACCTAAAACCTGCACTAAAACTGAGTTCAAATGCCATAAAACTGAGAAATGTATTCCTAGAAGTAAAATGTAATCTAAAACAATTTAATATTCTATAAATATTCTGCTTTTTAATGAAATCTTCTCTGAATAAATAAATTAATTAGATAGTTTTATATATTAATATAATAATTTATTGTTTATAATTTATTATAGATGTGACGGTAAACGAGATTGTCTATATAACGACGATGAAAAAAATTGCCCAAATTGTCAAGCTAATGAATACGCTTGTGAAAATAACAATTGTATAGCGCAAGAGTGGGTATGCGATCAAGTTAATGATTGTGGTGATAACTCGGATGAAAAGTATTGTGACGGAAAAAGTTTAACAATAATTAATAAAGACTTAGAGAAGAATTGTAAAGAGTATCTTTGCAATGATGGCAAATGTATTCCCTTTTACAAGGTCTGCGATAACCATAATGATTGTTCGGATGGCAGCGACGAGTTGAAGCAATGCAGTAAGCTAAATTTTCTCTTTTAACTCTTTAAGCTTTAAATATCTTCCGATGAAGCTGTTCATATTTAACATGTAAAGAGTTGATGAGTTAGAACTCACGTTAATTAGACATTTTTTATTTCTCTTGATAATTAATTGATAAAATATTGAACCGTTTTCTTTTATCACCCTGTATATTGATAAAATATATTTCAATTGTTTAATTATTTAATAAAAAAATGAAAACATCCTATCTTAAATCAACTATAATTAATAGTTCATTTATGTATAATAAGATCTAAAAGGAATACATCCTAAATATATATTTGTATTTTCAGTGCGAGCGTGTACGTTAAATGATCCCTGTCAACAAAAGTGTAATAAGACACCGTTAGGTCCTGTTTGTACTTGCAATCCTGGATATAAATTAGCTTCCGATGGAGTGAGTTGCGACGACATAAACGAATGCGAGCTAAATGTATGTTCTCAAATTTGTCATAATACTCTCGGTGGATTCAGATGTTCTTGCGAAAGTGGATATGTCTTACAGAAGAACAAACTTTCTTGCAAAGCTTCTTCTGGTAAATGCAAAATAGAACAACTAAAAATTCTTTTTTTTAATATATTTTTATCAAATATAGCATTAAGTTAGGGTTACTATATGTCCTTTTTTTTTAGACCTTAAATTTTCATTCAGCCAATTTTTTTAAATATGCAGAAATTTTTGTATTTTTACTTTTCATACTCTCTCTTTTGTCAAATTATTATTATTATATTAAAATATAACAGAAAAAAATAACTCAAAATACGTTAATTAGTCGATAAGACTTATTTATTACTTATCAGATAAGTATTTAAAATTTCTGAAAGTAAGAATATTAAACCTTTATATTTTTATTATTAATTTTTTATTTTTATTTTTATTTTGAACAAAAGAATTCATTAAAATGTATTTATTTTTATCCGAAAAAAATAAGATTTATATCGTTTCGTATTAGAATGTTTAGTTACAACCCAATAATTTGTGTCTGTATTTTGACAAAAGGAAAATATGGTAACCCTTATATAGTACTGAGTAAATGAAACGAATCATATTAATTCTAGCCTCGCAAATGCAAATAATAATAGTTGCTGGATACGATGTAAGCAAAACTACGTTTAATTTGAACGACCACGAGGTACTTCATCATGATCCACATTTTGAAATTTATGGTCTCGACTTTAATGCCAGAGAAAATGCTGTTTATTTCAGCAATGGTATAAGAATGAATAATTTGTATTTATTATTATAATAGAAAATAATGATAGTATAATTGTAACTATATATATAAAAATGATCTATAATCTTTAGTTATACTTGGAATTATAACAAAAATCAATATCAAGACGAAAGAAAAAATGATAATTAAAGATATTGGAAAACCTGGAGTAATAGCAAACGATTGGATAACAAATAATATCTACTTTTTCAATGACATCTATCCATACAATATTAAGGTAAATAAACACTATTGAAAATTGTCATTAGAAATAAATAATTGTTAATAATATTTCTGTTCAGGCATGCAATTTGGAAGAAGAAAAATGTGCAGAGGTTCTAACGATCAATGGAAATAGTACAGTGGAATCGATCAAAGTTGATCCCACCAAAGGGTAATCGGAATAACTTAATAATAATAATAATATATATATAATAATAATTAATAAAATAATAAAAATATATAATTGTTTATAATTAATTGATGAATTTCGTTGTATGATCAATCAGGTTGTTATTCTGGAGTCAAACCGAATGGTTGCTTCAAATTGAACCAAAAAGTAAAATATATAGATCAAGTATGAATGGTACAAACGTTGAAGCGATAGTTACTGAAAATCTTGGGACTATACAAAAACTAACAATAGATCATAGAAGGTCACGATTATATTGGTGCGACACGCAATTTAATATTATAGAATCAGTCAAATTCGATGGTTCTGATCGGCATATATTTTTAAAAACAGAGGTATAATCCAATTTTGATTCATTTTTTATTCGCGATTACATAAATGATTGATTATCAAAAATAATTACAGGTAGAACCTCTGGATGTTCACGTGCACGATGATTATCTTTATTGGTTACATTCCAATACAGGTAATATAAAAAAATGTAAATTGAAAAACAAGACCATTTGTACGACCATTCTTGCTTCTCGAATAGTTGCCAAACATTTTATTATTTTTCATGAGAACAGCCAACCATTAGGTAAAGATTAAGATAATCCAAGTTTTGATTTTTTAATGTTGAAATATAAGTGTCAACCTACATTGTTTTTGAACTTGTACCTACTCTGGTTACATGCTTAACTTTGTTTTATTACATTCATTGTTCGTTATGTAAAATCGTTATTTTTTCTTTTGTTAGAATAAATCTATAAACAAAATATACATCTGTCAAAGTATTAATTATATCCACCAAAAACTTTATCAGTTAATTTAATCATTTATTTGTTTATTTTAAGTACCGAACAAATGTCAAGATCATAGATGTGCTTACATGTGTCTTTTGAATGAATACAATTCCACTTGTTTTTGTCAATATGGTCAAACAATGAGCAATGATCTGTTGTGCAAGGAAAATTCCAAAATATATAGCTTGTCGAAAACGTTGGATAAACAAAATATAACTAATAATCAAAATAAAGGAATGATAGTTGGCCTAACCATTTCTTTGGTCACAGCGATTACCATTTTATCTATTTATTATTATTATCAACAATCAAGAATAAGTCGTGGGAGGAAGAATGAAATGAGGTTTGTTCCAGTTTAATAAGATTATAATCAATTAATTTATAAGATCATCAGTAAAATATGAAGATATTATTAATATTATAATGATTAAACTGTTTTTTTACGTTACAGTATTCATTTTCAAAATCCTATCTACAATGAAAAAAATGAAATTCAGAAATCATTTAACTATATGGAACCTTTACCACCTGGGGAACACGAATATATGAATCCAATAATTAATATGTCAAATAAGGTAACTAATTGTATATTATTTTTATATTTAAAAAAAGAAAATTCATATGGAATTTCTTATCGCTTGTTTATTATTTCAGTTAGATATTAAAAAAATGAAGACAAATAAAATAATCGAAATTGAAGACAATTCAGAAAGTGAAACGGAAAATATGCAATACTCACAAAATACCAAACTCTTACGTTAAAGTAAGAATATAAATAACGAACAGAGTATTAATTGAAAAAGATTTAAATTAATTATTGTTATTATATAAAACATAGTCACAATGGGTTGACTTATGTAATGTTACAATGTTAATATTTATCTGTTGTGTAAATTTTTCACAGTACTGTTTTTATTATATTATTTAAAAAATAATTGTTCATAAATAAAAAGAGAAATATTTTTATAACAATCGATTCTTTTCCAAAAAGAATTCTTAGTGCATTATGTGGTAGACTTCTGTATAATGCAAATTCCCTTAACACATTGAAAATATTACAACTACTTTTTTCCTATAAAGCGCTATAAAATCAAATGCTGGAATTTCCGGTATAAGTTATTTAAAATTGTCATGTTAGAAAATAAATAGTTTGTAAGAAAATAAACAATTTTTAAGAACGACCATACTATTTTTTGTATCAATGAGTTTGGTGCATTTAATAATCAACGCTAGCTGATATAAATTATTTTTAAATAAAAAATAATCTTCTGAAACACGCGGAAAAAACAATGACGAAATTGTAAATAAAAAAAAAAAATGAAAAGAAATGTATGCACAAATATAAATAAACGAATTAGAAAAAAGAATCTAAAGAAGGATCGATCATCGAGAGAATATTTGAAATACGCGGTTATGTATTTTTATAGATGGCAGAACGATCGCCTGCGAACATGGCGCATTCTGGTGGCGTTTCTAGCGAACAGTTCAGTCTGATACGAGGAAAGCGATAGAGAAGATTCGTATGATCAGCTGTAAGTGGCAAGTCAAGTTTGCCTCGGTTATCTTCGTGTTGATAGAGAACGAACCAATAAAAATATTAATGAATACGATAGAAAACTAATGGATTAAACAACATCAATAGAAAAAAAAATAAACAAACAAAACGATTAGGTCTGTTCGACGAACCGTGAATTTTAGTGTATGGTGTGTTATCCCTCTCTCTCTCTCTCTTTCTCTCTCTCCCTTTCTCTCTCTTTCTTCCTTTCTTAGTGTCTATGTTATCAAAGAATATCGATGATTAAAAAATAAAGAAAGAAAGAAAGAAAGAAAAAAGAAAAGTAAAGAAAAGAAAATAATAATAAGAAGAAGAAAAAGAAGAAGAATAAGAGAAGAGAGAGAAAAAGGTGAAAAAGAAAAGAAAAGAAAAAGTGATCGTTGTGCATTAAGTTAATCGTCGTTGACATCGTCGTCGTCGTCGTCGTTCAGCCCTTAGCTCAAATATTTGTCGTGAGGGCTAGCGAGGCATGACGGGAACAGGTGACAATAGAGGACCTCCGCCATGTTAGATTTCGCGAGATCGCGAAACGTGCGCCGTCTGCTGCTGCTGCTGCCGCTAGTGGAGGAGGAGGAAAAGTGGCATTATACGCTAAGAAAGAGATAGATAGAGGGAGAAAGAAACTACCATATATATATATATATATATACATATATACATATATATATACATATACATTGCATATATATATATATATAAGAAAGATATATATATATATAAGAAAGAGAGAAAGAAAGATAGAGTGAGAGAGAGAGAGAGAGAGAGAGAAGGAGATAGTGAATTTATTTTGTTTTTCTCCGTTCTCCTTCGCGCTACTTTCACCCTCTCGACACTGTGATCCACCTGAAAATCATCCAAGCTGGATAGGTTACCCGAGTATCTCCGCGATACCGTGGATTGGTTTATGGGGTAAGTTAGTTTTCAAACAAAAATGACAATGAAACCGTTTCTATCACCTTTGTATATATATATATATATATATATATATACATACATATATATTTATATATATATACCCTTTGTGACAGGAATTCTTATATACGTTTATGTAGGCAAAAGTTTGATAAAAGGGTGATGATCTTCATAATGATGATGATGATGATAATGATGATATGGTGGCGGTGATGGTGATGGTAGTGGTAACAATGATGATATTCGATGTATGTATTTAAAGATTATTCCCGATCAATGGCTCTCCTAACCTCTGTGTTTCTCTTTCACTTTTATCTTTTCTTTTTTTTTTTTTTTATCTACCTTTCGTATTTTTGTATTTTGTATTTGGTGAATCGTTCTAGAACTTTATGAGGGGGGAGGGGTGAAAAAATTAACGAATTTATTTTGAGAAATTACTTTTAAATATTATCCTAAGTTATTATTTTATCTTTTTCTTTTTGTTTTTTTTACAATGTTTCGTTCGTTCTACAATGTTTGAATAGCAATTTGACTTCGGTGGTCCAACGAATTCAACCGGCAACGTACCTAACAACACATTTATATATAATTTCTTGGTTTTTTTTCTTTTTCTTTATTTTTAGAATAATATCTCATTTTCCGTCTATATGGATATAATATTGAATTCTTATTTTCGTTGACATTAACATAATTATAAAAAAAAAAAAAAAAAAAAAAGAGTAACTTTAAAAAAGAAATATCTTTTATTTTCTATGGCGGATTAACGACGATGACGAGGCAGAGTTTAAATGTGCAAAAGACAAAATGTTGAATATGTTGCGCGAGCCTTCCTTTTCCCTGACTCCCCTTTCTTCCCCTCCTCATTCCTGCCGAGTTATCGATGTATGTACGAACGGAAAAGACTATTTTGTTGCGGGTGTGTGTACGCGCGCGCGCGCGCCTCTCTATATGTATGTGAGTGTGTTTACCTGTTAACGGACTTACGTAAACCTTTCGATCGTTTTTTCGTCAATAAATCTTACGTTTTATCTTTTTCTTTTTTTCTTTTTCTTTTAAATGGATGACAAGAAAAAAAAACAAATAAGAAAATTCAAAACATTATTCTATTCGCGATTATGTTAATTATTTAAATAAAAATGACGAAAAGGGATATTACGTATATATTTAGAAAGATTTTTAAATTTAATATATTAATACCATGTAACTGTGTGTATAACGATCCTAAGATACAGTCACATTAATCTTATTTCCATCGAACGTGTTATTATTAAATTATCAACAAAGCTTGAACGAAAGTCTCAGTGTCATTGGATTACTAGTACATATACACATCCTAAACGTTGGCTTTTTTTTTCAAAATTTTGTTTTTCTCTATATCAAAGTTTTCATTTATTTTCGTATAATTATTCATTTACATTTTCTAATCGTTATTAGAATTCGCGATAATTTATTTGTCCAATAGGAGCGATATAATTTGTTTAATATTAAACGAATTTCATTGGTAGAAATTATTTTAATTCGTGGACGAGGGAGTAGAAGGGAAATGACTCTAGTTGTTGTTGATGTTTCGGCGCGAAATTTAAAAATGGGAAAAAAGCGCGCGAAAAATTCAACGTCGAAGAAAGTTAATATGTTTTTTTGTAATTTTATAATAGAGATAGGCACTGGAATAATGATTATTTCGTTTGGTTACACCATTGTCCTAGTCAAGGCGAATCTTTTATTGATTTAACGCCTCCGAGACATCACCTCGTTGGACGAAAAAAGAAAGCTTCTTATATTTACGTAGGATATCTGAGGGACGTATATATGTAACGCATATTAAAGATTCTCAAACATATTTTTGTCCTACTTTAAAATATTATTCCAATATTACGCGAATATATTACTATTATTATATAGGAAGTTTTTATATTTAAATTCATATTAAATCAAACGGTATATAACCTAAAAGTAATCAATCGTTACGATTAATTCAAAAGTCGATCTATATTATCGATTTTCTTCCATATACATCTAATAAAAGATAATACAAACTTGAGTGGTAACATTAATAAATAAATAAAGTACTGGTTACCATTAAAGAGAACAACGAGAACGATATAATACGCATTCGCGTTGCGAAACGTTTTCTTCTTCAATGGCGCGCATGCGCGAGAAACCTATACGTACGCCCACGCACACATATATACGTGCTCTCTCTTCCTCTTTGTTTTTTTCTTCTTTCTTTTTCCTTTTTTTTTTTTTATTCTCTTTTAACGACTACAAGAGAAAGAAAAAAGTATAATGAAGGATAAAGAAAGAATTTATTTTAATTATAAAAAATTGTGTTCTCTTTTCGAGTAATTGTAAAAACATAGAAAGTAAAGAATCGGTGTGTTCGTTAGCTCGAAACCGAAGAAGAGAACGATGACTCACATTCTAGTGAAGTCTTTTCGAGGTGTACGATAGGTTTCCTCGATGAATCACACACGTGTCTTTCTTCTCTTCCTGTTTTTATTTATCATACTTACACATATATATTGTATTTGGCCAAAAATAACATAGAAAACATTTTATTAATGAATTATGAATTCTTATTTTATATATATATAAATACACAAGTGTGTTATAAATTATTTATACTTCGATATAATATTTTGTTTTTTTTAAATCAATTAAAAATAGAGAAATATATGTGTGAGAGACCATTTAAACATTAAAAATGGTAGGGAAATATCTCAAGTACGAAAAAGCATAAAGTATACCCAACCGTGTTCACCTTTTTGCGATAACATTTATCGCGGTTTTCCACTTACAAATGTAGGTTTTACTAATAGTTTATATGCGTGTTATCGTTTTTAAATTGATAAGTATTATTATCGCATATTGTAGTTGTGGTTTGATATCGGAAGTTTCGTTTTTCCTTTATATTAAAATAAGAAACATATTATATAGATTAGTATTATAATTAATAGAAATGTAAGTTTCTTATTTGAAATTATATACAGTGAGTCACAGGAATATTCTTACTACTCCCACTGTCAATTTAAAACAATTGATATCTGCTTGTAACGCAATGTTTCCGAATTCTTATACACGTAAACCTATTTTAGGATTATTCAACTTGTAAAATTGATATGAATTTTACATGAATGATGCAAAAAAACTAGGTCTCACTAAAGTATACCCAATAGTCTGAAAAATATAAACTGCAAAAGAAGTTCAATCAAGTATTATTTCAAAAAAAAATAATAATAATTGCATTTTTATCTTATCATATGTAGATACAAATATCCTTGTGAGACCAATTTTTATTATCATTTATAGATAAAATTATATATATATATATATATTTCTTTAAGAATAAAATCTTTTTCTGCAATCAGTTTGAAAGTTGAATAATTCTAAAATAGTAATTCTATATATAGGAGAATTATGAAAGTTTTCATTACAAGTAAATATCAATTATTTCAAATTTACAGTGGGGGCAGAGGGGTGGTTTACGAATATACTCTT